CGCATTACGCCCCAGAAGAAACGAAGCAACGTTCACACGTTGGAAACGATGATCATCGGAGAGTTCGTGAGGAACCCAAACACCTTCTTTAAGAAGTTTCCCATATTCCTCAGATGCTTACGTAGTGTTTCATGAGAGACATGCAATTTCAGGGCCATTTCACGAGTGTGTTGCCGTGGATTAGACTCAACAAACGTTTTCAGAGCGTCAATATCAATTTCAACATGTCGGCCCCTGCCATCACAATTTTTAGCGTCACCTGAACGAAATTTGCTGAACCTTCGTTGACGCTTACGAACGTTTAAAACATTTCCATAAACTTCTTTGATATTGTTTGTGGCTACAGAGGCGTTGTTTCCCCTCTTGTATTCAAACGGCATCACATGCCGAATGTGTATCTCGTTGTATGCCATCACTATAACTATAAGGGATTAGAGTACACTAAACTTTACACATTATATAGGCTACGCTAACGTGACATTTAGGTGGTTCGTTTAACGTGATGTACCATTTTTGGACGTGGTTAATGAAAGTGTTCAAAAACGCGACATTAATTTCTTGACGACCTAATATATTAAAAGTCGCGGTTTCAACGCTAAAAGCTGGCGAAGTATTAAAAACCAATAGGTCTAACTTGTGATAAATATCACGTGAACTGCAGATGGTTTTTACTTATTCCTTCTCAATTTGACTATTGTGGTGTCAAAGTCGAAGGCGTGTAAAACTAGCATTTCAGAGCTGTGATTCGTTTCCCATAAGTCACTGCCCAAGAGGCTTATAGTCAACACCATAACTTGTCAGTTGGGCTGAACGATGAGACATAAGATTCTCTGAAACGCGGTTTATATATGTTTTGAACTTCTTATGATTTTGAATCTTAAAGTAACAAATTGAGAGAAATGTTTACATGAGTTTTATTACAAAGGTTAGGCCTGTAGAGGTGTATGTTATACTTAGAAATACACCACTTTATATTTATTGTTGTAATGTGTTCTTTTCAATTGGGATTAATAGTTTTAATTTGAATGACCGAGCGGTGGTTAGCTCGCCGGACTGTGCAGTATTTTGGGGCTGTAGGTGTGCCATAAGAGTGATGGTCAAATCCTAGTATTCCATCTCACAAGAGTAGCCTAAGAGTTCAAAATTAGGGACAGCTAATGGAGATAGCTCTCTTGTAGCTTTCGCAAATCCAAACAAACAATTGAACTTCAGTTTGTGGCGCTGTAACCTTTGAGAAAGACGTGGCATGGCCAGGTGGTTAGGGTGCCCGACTCGCAATCTGTGGGTCATGGGTTCGAATCCCTGTCACACCAAAGATGCTCGCCCTTTCAGCAGTGGGGACGTTATTAATTTGACAGTCAATCCCACTATTCGTTGGTAAAAGAGTAGCCCAAGAGTTGGCTACTCTGGTGATGACTAGCTGACTTCCCTCTAGTCTTACACTGCTAAATTAGGGACGGCTAGCGCAGATAGCCCTCGTGTAGCTTTGCGCGAAATCCATAAAAAACAAACCTTTGAGAAAGGTGTAATTCGAAACCTCGTTTTTTAGATAAAAATATTCTTTTTTATGGGCTTTGATTAATGGTAAGTAAGTGAAATACAATGTATTAAGTTTGATGTAAATCAGAGATGGTAAGATGTCAGGGCCGGTTCGAGGAATTGGGGAGGGGGTAATTGGTAACTAAAATGATGCCAAAGGAAGAATCCGGAGGTGTGAAGTGCCGAGATGGGGAGGAGGGCGCAGAGGGTCAAAATGGTGTATACTGTGACAATTCTGTGTATGATTTAGGCTAATACAGTTGTATGTACAAATAAACTATTATATCTTATACTTGGCTCTGCCCCGGTACAATCCT